ATATATATATATATGTTTTTTTAGAGGTTCTTAATATCATTTTAAATATATTTTTTTCATTTTTTTTTCATTTATTATAAAACGAAACAAGGGAAAATAAAAACTATTATCTTCTTTTTAATTAAACAGTTTTAAAATTATTCCATTTTTTACTATTTTTTATTTTCTTTTCTTTCACTTTCTTTTCTTTCAATATTTTCTTTTCTAAACAAACATAACATAAATTAACAGAAATTACACTAGAGATAATTAGTCAAATTTTTTAATTAAAATGAGATATTAGTGAAATATGTAGATACTCCATATTAATATTGTTATATTAGAAAAATTAGCATAATTCTTGAATTATATTATATTTATTTTTTTAAAAAAAATGATCTGTGCCCTAATGTGAATGACGAACCAATAAACAAAGATGTTGTACACGTACACGTGGCAGTCAGTAAAAAAAATGGACCGTATTTCCCAGTCTGGAATTTGAATCTCATTCCTCCGGGAGAGACGTTGCAAACTTTCCCATTTTCTCACATCCAATTATGCCAAAAAAAAAAGCCTCTTTTTTTCAAACAAACATTTTTTTTTTTAAATATAAAGCATTTATTCCTGTTTCCATTTAATGCTAGAACGTTGAACTGCACCTCAAAGTTGATGCATTGATCCGTTTCCTATGTATGTTTCATACTGTTTTTCGTGTCACAGTCAAAAGTTTTGTTGCTAAAGACCCCAACGCTTTGTTGATCCATCTCGCTGTCTTAACGTAAGCTCTTAATCGAATGCCACTGTAAAGTTTGGTTCTTTTCTTCGTTTTCTTTAATGGGCTATTGTCCTTTTTTTCTGCCTTTTGTGATTTTTTTTGTGCTTTTTTATATGGCTTTTGCTGTGTTGATGATTAGACAAGTTGAATGCACTTCCCGATCATATGTATCAGTTGTGATGTTTATGCTGCGTTTCAGTTTCACAGCATCACTTCATATTTTGATCGGATTGAGCAAGATAAGTAATGCTTGTACTCCATCATGGAGTATATATGAGCATATCTGTTTCCCTTTCTCCATTATGGATCATTGAAAAGATGTGAGTTTTCTTAATATTTAAGATCAGCAAAAACTTTTGTTTTTTCACCAACATTACACTATCTTCCCATTTCATTAAGCATAATATATTTATATTTGATTTTAGCTCGAATTTAGTATAGGATTTTTGAGCTTTTCTACTTGATCCGTTGAATCGTGTTTGGAAGATATATGACTATTGGTTATATATTAGTCCATAAGTTGAATAACGTCCGGAACCATGTGAGATTCTATTGTCTAGGTAGTGAAAACTGAAAACTGAAAAATCATGGTTTTAACTCTAGTGACATGAGCAAAGAGGTTTGGTCCTCTTGTGTTCTGTTGCTTACCTCCAAAAGAAACTTAAGAGATGCAGAATCATCTTGTAGGAGCTTTGCTGATTGTGTTTATATGTAATGTTATTGGTTTAGATTGCATCAGTTAATAATTAATAAATTTATATGTTCCCTAGTGTGTTGCTATTGAGGATTGAAACATGCTTTCCTTATCAGTCATTCTATGTTTGGATTTATGCAAAGAGATGGAATGAAATATTGGTAGTTGTCGTTGTTTGGATTGTTTAATATATAGGATGGAATGGAGCCTCATGGAATCTATTCTATTCAATAACTCTACTTTTATATTATTTAATTTACTTGTCAAACAATGGAATAAAAGCTTTTCTCCATTCCATCATAAACAATGGTATGCTCGACTAACCTTATTTTTTAATTTCACTGATATATCCTGAAGGTTAACTGAATTCTTCTTTAAAAATGAGAGTTGAGAAAGAAGGAGCAAAAAATGAAGGTGGACACGGCTTTTTCCACTTGTTTGACTGGACCTCAAAATCTCGTAAGAAACTATTTGCAACCAAGTCAGATTTGCCAGGTAAATGTAATGCTTATTAAGAATGTGATGAACTGTTTATGTCTCATTGTCTCTTGTCAATTGTAGTACTTTTATAAATAAAAAAAACTGTTGGTCTAAGTTTCAGTTGTGGCTTCTTTTTCTTCATCATTTGCAGAGTCCTTGAAACAGAGAAGAAAGGTTGATGGCAACTTGGCAGCGATGTTGCCCTATCTGGTATAACTATCACATTTGCTCCCCACCAATTGTTAGTTTACATATTTTGTAATGAAACCTTAGCAGTTACTTGTTTAATTCTTTCAGGTGGACGAAGATGATGAAATTGGAGTAGGGGAAAGTATTAGAGAAAATGGTGATCATAGTTGTGCATCATCTGTTATAGATGATGAAGTATGTGGAACAAAGGCCCCTGGTGTAGTTGCCAGGCTTATGGGATTAGATTCATTGCCCTCTTCCAGTTTTCCTGATCCATATTTTTCTCCATACTTTGACAACCAATCTCTTCAAGATGTGCAGTATTGGAGGACAAAGTTCAATCATCAGATCCTATATTCTGGAAAATTGAGTGAAAGAGTTGAGGGATCTTCTAGGGCCTTCATGGAGGCAAAGCCTCAAAAGATCCGTAGCAGGCCAATTGAGAAGTTTCAAACAGAAGTAATGCCTCCCAAATCAGCCAAATCTATTCCCCTTACACACCACAAACTTTTGTCCCCAATTAAGAGTCCTGGCTTTGTTCCAACAAATAATGCCACTTACATAATGGAGGCTGCTGCAAGAATCATTGAAACTGGTCCCCAAGCTACTATAAAGGCTAAAACATCTTTGGTAGCATCATCAGCAGTCTCATTGAGGGTTAGAGATCTTAAAGAAAAAGCGGAGGCTTCACAAAAAAGACCTCTAAGTGGGTCATCTTCAGTAACCTCTAGAGTTAGAGATCAAAAAGAAAAAAGAGAAGTTTCTCATAGAACTAGTAGGCTTTCTGAAGCTTCTCAAAGGTCAACTGAGTCTAACGATGCCAAGTATCTAAAGGGACAATCTTTGCACAAAAGTTGGAATGGATCTGTGGATACTCCTGTCAGATTACCTACTCAAGTAGAACAAGATTCTACTTTGAAAAATAAAGGGAAGTCTATTTCACTTGCAATCCAAGCAAAAGTGAATGTTCAAAGAAGGGAAGGTTTGGGTTTTAGCAGTGGAAAAAGTTTGGTGGAGCAAAAGGAACAATGTGACATTAAACCCTCCCAGCAGCCTCTGAAAGCTAATGTTCAAAAAAGTTTACATAAGAAATCTTCTGGTCAAAATGCATCTGGTGTTCTCAGGCAGAATAATCTGAAACAGAATTGTTCAATGGATAAAGACAGACAATCATCAAAGCCATTGGTTTCCAATACACACAATAGAAAAGTTATGAGTGGGGATTCCTCTTGTGGACGTCACAGAAGCTCTAGTAGTAAATCCATTGCAAAATCTATAGTTGGCCTTAAAAAATCATCCATGCAGGTGACAGATAGTGAAAAGGAAGTTCTATATACCCGTGCCAACAATTTCCCTAGGAAGAAGAGGTCCACAGACAGGGAATGGAATGATAGGGTTGTTGATAATTTGTTCATTGACAAAAGTCAGAAGCCTGTTCAGTCTAATCTAGTTAGTAATAAACACCATGGTGGGGCTGCAGAAGTCAAAAAGAAAGACAATGATGTAGTTTCCTTCACATTTACCACACCATTGACAAGAAGCAATTATGGTTTTGACACTGACTATGATAGTACAAGGTCTCCAGTAGTGTACCACGATATTGGTGGTGATGCCTTAGGTATCCTTTTGGATCAGAAGTTGAAGGAATTAACATATGGAGTTGAGAACTCTTATGATGACTCCTTCAGAGCAAGGTCACTTTCCAGTACTGCCCCGAAATCGAAAGATTTGGTACTTAATTCAGTTGACTTCATTCCACGGTTGCAACAGAAGAAAGACCAAGACATGATGTTGACAGATAAGCTATTCAGTAGTCATGAATGTGATTCCTTCACTAGTCTTCCAGAATTATCATACAAACATAGACTTTGGGTATATGATAATATTTTAGCTTTTGTGGTTATTATTCATTGAAAGTATCAATTGCATCATATTATAGAATCACCCTAAAGTTGACTGGAGGCATAATATTCCTTATGATTGTAGTATTGAATGGTAACTAACTCGACTTATTTTACAGGTTGATAAGATCAATCCTATGGAGGCAGAGTCATTCAATTGCGGACAGCCAAGTCCAATGTCTGTTCTTGACCCTTCCTTTTCTACTGAAAGCTGTGAATCTCCATTCAGCACAAATGCTGCCAGTTTAGAAGATCTAAACAGAAGGTAAAAACGGCATTACCATCCTGCTTGAATATAGACAATGTGTTAAGTACTCTTGGATAAATTCTTCAATATGAAGGTAGAATGAATTAAGCTTCTCCCATAAATTAAAATAAGCTTATGAACTTCAACTTTTATAAAAGTTATCTCACTTACCTTCTCTAAAAACTTATTTTAACTTCTACTCTCTCCCTCCCCAAATAATTGTAGTTTAAGGTTTCTAAACACAAATTAAGAATAATAGTAAACATCACTCTTTAATACAATTGTACTAAAATGGTCTGACTTTCTTAATAAATACATTACTTTTAATAGTAATGATTGAATAATCTATGAAAGGACAAATTATGAAAAAAAAAATTAATATTACAATGAAAAATGAGAACATCGGTCATTTTGAGATATTTTTCAAATATTAAAACTACATTCAATTTGTAATGGAAGGGGAGTATAAGCTAATTTTAACTTGGTAAAGAAGTTTAATTCATTTTATCTTATTTTTTTCATGACACACGAGTCAGGACTAGAGGTCTAATCTTTATTACATCTACTTTCAGGAAACAATTTCTGGGCTCAGGAAGTGGCTTGAATTCCTCAAGGAAGCAGTTCCATCCTTTAGAGGCTGCTGATCCAGACTTGTTGGATTCAGCATCAACTTGGAGCATGGAAAAGAAACATGCAAGTACATGGTGTCAAGTGAAGTTCGGAGAATCAAGTACATGGGAGTTGGATTATGTGAATGATATATTGTGTAATGTGGAGTTGATGTTCATGGACTTTGCCCTTGGTAGAGCTCGTGACATTGTGAACCCTCATCTCTTCAACCAGTTGGAAAGTCGAAGGGGAAGGTTTGAGGGTGATGGTGGTGAGTGTAGGATGGGAAGGAAAGTTATATTTGATTGTGTGAGTGAGTGTTTGAACTTGAGATGCAGGCGTTATGTTGGTGGGGGGTACAAAATGTGGACCAAAGGGGTTGCAATGGTGAGAAGAAATGAATGGTTGGCAAGGGAAGTGTATAAGGAAATTTCATGTTGGAGGGATATGGGGGATTCAATGGTGGATGAGCTAGTGGATAGGGACATGAGTATTCAATATGGACAGTGGCTTGATTTTGAGGTTGATACTTTTGAACTTGGTGCAGTGGTTGAAGTCCAAATATTTAATTCTTTGGTTGATGACTTGGTGGATGAAATCATGCAATTATAACACAACGCAATCAATGCTGTGAGATTTGATTTTGGCATTTTGGCACTCAATTATCATTATTAATGTGTGTGCCTGTCCCTCCACATGGCATCTCTATTCTCTATAAACAACATGAACAAACATTTATGAGAATTTATGAGAGACACGAGACATAACTGTTGCTTTCCCTAGTTGTTTTATTAATTCTATTGAGAGAAATCAATTGTGTACAGTCGTACACTTCTTTTTTCCTATAGTTTTTCATTAGCATTTTAATACTTCGTCTTAAGTTAATCTGGTTCAGTCAAAAGACAAGTATAATCTGGTTGAGAATTATTTTTGTCAAGGATCGAATTTGAATACTACCCAAACAATTTGACCTTAAATACAAAAATAAAGTTTCAACTTAAAAACTTATTTATACTCTCTTCGTTTTTTATTCATAATTGTTTTGAAATTATTTTTTTTTGTTCTTTTTTTATTATCATTTTTTTTAAATTAATGACTTATTAATTTTCTTTTTCATATTTAATCTTGATAATTAATGTGTGTTTATTGACCAATGTATTTATTCATTTTTCAATGTACCTATTTCTTTCTCAATCATCTAAAGGGTATAATATGAAAATAAGTAATAAATTTTTAAAAAAATTAAAATATTAATCATTTTCTTAATTCTTATACATAACTTTAAACATCAAACAAACAAAAAAAAATAGAGGGAGCATCATTTATTATAATTTATAATTTAGTTTATATTTAATAAACAAATAAATTGAGATTCATTGAGTTCGTAATGTTTGTTCTAAGGTTAAACATGACAAAAACGAATACTAAAATAAAATGACAAAATCAAATAAGTTATGCACTTAGTAAATTTTTCTGACATAATTGACTTCCTTAAACACTTGATAAAATTTGATTCTTAACTATGTTTATGAAAAAAAAATACTATTGAAAAATCTATTTAAAATTTATAAATAATATTTGTAATTGTACAATGTACAAGTTCAATATTTATTTTTATATAATTAAAATGTATATAAATTAATATTTTTTATGTTATAAATTATATTTTAAATGTATAATAAAGAAATTATATTGTGGTATATGATTTTTAACTATTGAAAATTTCTTTTAAAAATTATTGAATTTCAATTAAGAAATAAAGATGGAAAGTTAAAAGTAGAGTGGTTTGAGATGGTCAAAGAAAAAAAAATTAAGCTGGTTGTTAAATCAAATTAAAATTAAGTATATTTGAAATATATATATATATATATATATATATATATATATATAACTTAAAAAATATTATCATAAAAACAAA